AAAAGAAGTTTAAGGTGGAAGCCCATTACGCAATGCGACTCCATAATTCAAGATCTTGAAAGACGAACTAAAAGCTATCACACTGTCAACGAACGTTTTAAGTGTTTTTTTAGCAATATCGATGACATAGCATTTCAAGAGTCTGCCAATATCTTGAAAAATACATGTAAGTCGGATGTAGAAGGAGATGTATAGAAGGATATTATCATAGAAGGATCAAATATCGAAAAATTAGATTGCAATCTAATAATTGACCAGTTTACAAATGAGAAATGTAGAAAGAAACACATTTGATCAATGTCCCAAATTTTTATTTTATTTATTTATTAAGTTATTTCTTTTATGTTCTGTTCAAAAATTATATTTTTTTTATTTTTGCGTTAAATGTTGTATAATATTATTTAAAATGTTTTTATAAAATGTTTAATAGCCCAGTCAAATTAGACAAATCGGTGGAAAAAAATCACAGTTTTGAAAATGGTTTTAATTGATTCCTCTAGACTTGTGCTGATATGTGTCAAAAGTCCCCGAAGATAAACGATGAGCTCGAGGAGAGGGGAGGGGTTAAATGCCACTTTTATGACTTTTTAGCTTATATCTCGGAAAATATGACACTTACGAAAAAACACCTTATATAGAAAATTAGAAAGCCTAGGAAATTCTCTACAAAATTGGTTGAATACATTTTTTCATAGGTCTAAGTCTATATTTTTCATCCGTCTTTTTTTTAGTAGGTCTTTCAAACCCTTTTTTAATTTTGTATAATAACGTATATTATCAAATTTAAATTACAAAATATATATGTGATTAAAGATAAGGTGCTTTAATTTTCATTATAAGATTTTTGAATTGAAGAATTATATGAATATTTCTTATTTCCAACACAAAAATTAATTCAGAATCATAATAATTCACTGTTATTTTATAAATGTATTAATATTTATTTTGATTCTTTAATATATTATGTACATGTTGGTTTTGATTCTTTTAATTACGCAAAAATATAAAGCAAAATAAATGAACAGAAAACATTATTTATGTTAACAAATAACTTGCGCAGTCAAGGAAAGATTGGCGTGAACGTATCACGTCTAAAATTTATAAAATCACAGTATATACTAAAAGTTAAACTTAATACATACTTAAAAAATAATGATATCGTATTTCTTCAACGCTATTTGAACGAAAAACGTCCAATGAAAAGAAATGTATTTGTACGGATTTGGTATATCCCATTTAATTTAGTATCCAAATTTATGAAGGGCATAGTTCGGAAATCATAAATCCGGGAACAAAATGTATAGAACCATTTTTATAGAGAATTTTGTCAGCTTTATTTTTGTGTATGGAGTGTTTTTCAGTAGATGTCATAGTTTCCGAGATATAAGCAAAAAAGTGAAAAATTTGACATTTAACTCCCTCGGAATCGTTTAAAACCATTTCCAAAACTGTGGGACTTTTTTCCGCCGATGGACCTTTTTAAACTAATTTGACTGGGGTAAAATACATTATGTTCGTTGCAACTTTTTTTTTACGTAGATAATTTAGTAAGTCGTACAACACACTACAAACCTAACCACAATCATTATGTATAACAAACGTAGAATAGGGGGGGGGCCCGAAAAAAAAAACCGCTTGGGGCCCAATGGCCCTTAAAACCGGCCCTGGGCCGATGGAAGAGTCTTGAAGACGCTCATCCGCGCATAGAAACAAGTTGACTGCGTAGCGTATTGCGTATTAATCGATTCTGAAACTTTCTATCTCATGTATAACATGTTACGCAAGTTTATTATTTTAATCTCGATTTTAATAGATAAATATGTGAAATGCCACCTGAATATCTTCCGCCATGACATGTTTTTACTTTTTGTTATGGTAAAGTGATTTGTATAAACTTTATTCAATAACGTATATTTTCCTCCATTTGGTGATTTTTTTAATTTTAAGCGAAAATTAAGTATAACATTTTAGGAAAAAGAAACACTGTAATATTTAAAAAAATAAGAAGAAATTAGTCTTATTTTGAAAGAAAAATATAGAAAAAACTCTTTCTATAGAAAAAAGTCTTTATACTAACCAGAATCCGGTGACATATATGCGGTCTCACCGGAAATATTACTTATTACTTCACATAACTTGAAGAATATCTACTTTTAATAATGAACACTTCAGAAATACACCAGTAAAAACATTTATTATTTGAGATTAAAACTCGAATGAAATTATAAATATTAGTTACCTATGTTGTTATAGCTTTTATAGGCCCGTTTAACGACTTAATAAGTTACCTAGCGAAAAAATCTGTGCGCGTACCTACCACTATTGTTACAGGTTAATTTTTTAAAGAAATATGTTACACAAATGAAAAACGCTAAAATTTTCATGGTATTACTTGTGCATTATTGGCCTTATAATGCAATTAGTTGGAATTATATCTTCTTTAAATATAATTAGACTTTTTAACGACTTTTGAGTTACCTAGGAAAAAATATGTGCACGTACTTACCACTATTGTTACAGGTTAATTCGTTAAACAAATGTGTTTGGTTTGGTTTGGTTTGAACATATTATTCGTGGTATTAGTGGTATAATATTGGAATCAGCTTGGCATTAGTGGGGCATTATATGAAAAATTTTGGTATTTAATTTGTATTTTTGGCATTACTTTGGCACTAGTATACAGACATTTGTCAGCGGTTTACTCCTTGTAGATAATCAAAAAGTTTTTAGATAAAATTTGCTTTTTATGTCAAATCATTTCTATGAAAAATTACATTAGATTTTTATTAAAGACGCTGGGTAATTAAAACATTGACTAATAAGGCTTGTCCACTTTAAATAAGGGGTCACGAAATATCCTCCTTGGAGTGTTTGGGTTAAGGGGTGTATAATAAATTAATCCTTGTTTTATAATAAAAACCATAAAACATTTATTTGTGAGTAAAATAATGCAATGGTTGGATATCTCTCCTTTATAATTAGGTGACTAAAAATACACTAAAATAATTAGAAAAAAAAATTGTAATTATTTAGTAGTTACGTCAATATTAATTAATTGACTTTCTAGTCTATTTTATTTTATGTACAAATATATTATTAAATTTTAATCTAAGCATTAAGTAATAAAACACTTTGTGCCCTCTTATATCGTAAGAGGTTACGAAATATATACTCCTGGTTACACCCCTTACAGAAAACAGTGTAAGGGGTGCAAATAAATTGTATAATCACTGTTTTTTATAATAAAAACTATAAAACATTTCTTATTTGTGAGATTAAAAAAACAAAACAATGCATTGGTTAAAATAAGTACATTCAATACATGTATTGTTTTAGACATTTATATGCCCAGTATATTTTTGTTTAACAAACCAATCAGGAGAAAATCCAAAACCTACCGTTATAGGAGGTATAAAATGATTAAACTTATATAATGACAACTACTTATCGGATAACAAATTAATTACTATTGTCAGCTACTGTCTAGGTAGAATATACCTAGAGTACCTACACCTATCTATGATGTAGGTAGATTAAAGCTTATTTTGACTTTACGTCACACTTCGGTGTCACAAGCTGAATTTTTCAGGGATGGAAGTACAGTACATGATATGGGGACCCTTATTCCGAAAGTAGTACAAAATTAGACCGGGTAAAAGGGCACTATCATCAAAAATCGATGTATTAATACCACCGCATAGAGAAAACAAATACTTATTTTTTGATCCAGTACACAATAAAGTCTTCGTAGGGAGTAATTTTTTATAATTATTTACAAAAAAACATTTCCATTAGCGTTTATGACCAAAAAAAACTTTAAATATGAATAACTCATTTCAATCAGGCGAAAATTTGGTATAAAAATAGGCTTTTTTTAATATAAATTTCATTTAACGAAAAACGAAGGCCTAAATGAAAAAATGTCTTGATGTCTTGACAAGGTATCAAAGCAAACCCCATATTTTTTGCTTTTAAACTAATAAAGATATATCAATAAACAATTAGCGATGTAATGGTTTTTGCGCGCGCTGGCCGACTGCCGCAGCTGCGCCGAGATTTCCTATACCCTTGTATGTATGACGTCATGGTGTGGCAAATGTAGCATTTTAATTCGATTTGGGCTCCCATATATAGGATAACAGAAACATTTTCAATGTTAAAACATAACTTTAGTTCATATATTTTAAAATATATTTTTCGTAGAAAAACATACTACGCCACTGTATTCTTCGTAACAAGTTCTACAAGAATCAGTTTCCACCTCCTCGATATAATAAAGACCCTGTAGCTCAGAAACGAAAAGGGCTACGAAAATTTTGTTTACAGCATCTTTTCTGTTTGACGAAAAACTGGGACAGGTTTGCGCAAACCGCATCCTTCTATCTTCACGAATAACGGAGATACCGTATGATTTCAACCAAAATGGGATACCCTGTACATGTGTAGATTTTTGTATGTCATGGGTGTCATTTATTTTTAATGTTATTTTATTTGGCAGTCTGAACGTTCACAAATAATAATTCGTCCAAAAGAAAAGAAAAAAAACCTATAGAAAAAAAAAAACTAAAAGTTTTTATAATAGTTCACCACAATACATCAAAACACATTACTTTCAACACATCAGCGCATTAATAAAACTCAGTTTTAATCATCTTTACTGATAATGTCAAACAAAGGTCCCAAACTGTATTCTAAGAATTTTTAATGATATTTTATTTTATTAATAATTTATTTTGATGAAGTTTTGAAAACAATATTAACACAGGGATTCTTTTAAACGACAATAGTTTATGAGGTGGAAAAAACGATTTTTGGACATTCGTCCTCCTTAAGAGAGTAAAATGCATTTTAAAAGTTTATATTGTATAAAAATTCCTTACTGTCTGGTCATATCTGCACAAAGTGAGTGGCTTAACTGAACACTCAGGAGCCATTTTTGGAATTTCATTCACTATGAGGCCGAAGTTAGGGATAATAGTATGGAGAATAAGCAATAAAAGTGTAATAAATGTAATTTTATCTATAAAATTTGTATTTTTACAAAATTTATGCTGGCATATGTATTATACCTATAAACTAATTTTTAGACAATGTATTGTCTTTAATTATAATTTTATAACTTGTCTTATGTGAAATATAATAATTGTTTGCATGCTTTTATGTATATTGTTGTAAAGCAAGAATTAGAATATACAAAAAATAGCTGGTCCATGTGGAATGTGGTGGGACATCTATCACTGACATATAAAATGCCGGAACACTGAAACAAAACAAAAAGGAGTTTGTTTTGGTTTGGTTTGGTTTGGTTTATATATATATATAGGTAAATATATATATATATATATATATATATATATATATATATATATATATATATATATATATATATATATATATATATATATATATATATATATATATATATATATATATATTTTGTGAAAGCGTTTCGAAATTGACAGTTTTTGATATTTATTTGAGATTCGAAATGACATTCTTTTAGGCACTAGTATCTAAAAATGACACTTAAAAGTAAAAAATGATACGTTAGAAACAATGAAAATATTTATTTATTATAAATTCGATTAATTTAATTCTTTGTCCTCGGCTTCTTTCATAAAGCGTTTTATTTCCAGTTTTGTAAATTCTTCTGATTTCTTTGTCCGATATCCGGATGCAATAAGGTTTGTGAATTTGCTCAGATCTACTGTTTTTGTTTCTTTTTTTTTATTATTTGTTTCTGTTCAGGTAAATCATGGTGCGGAGCATCGAATATAATTAAACGACAATTTTGCGTCCCGTGCTTAAAACACATTCATTTCGCAACTTGTTACATAAATAGTTATTTTCTACGATCGTGCAAAAAGTAGCTATTTTTTGCACTATCTACTATAATAAAAGTCAAATTTCTTTCTGTAGAAAATAAGTTACTTTTTGACGATTTAACTAAAGAGAAAAAATTTGTAGATTTTTATAAAAATTTGTCAAATCCTGGAAGATAAACCAAGTACCAGTACTGGACACCTCCCAGCAATATTCCGGAAAAGAGTTTAAATGAAGAACAAGAACCCGAGACCTCCACGAGCAGAAATCCAATGGAAGATACAGGACATTGTTTCTGCAGATCTTCTGCAACACTGCTTGTGGAATCTGGGGTAGACATGTTAACGCGGGGCCTACGTGAATTTTTTGGCCGCGATATTGGAAAATATGAAGTCACAAGATGAGGGTCATATTCGATTCAGATCCTGTCATATAGGTATTATTTTAGTGACAAATAAAGTACAACTGGAGCTTTCTATAAAAATAATTTATTAAAAAAATTAATTAGAAATACACAAAAATTGTATGCAAACGGTTAAAGTTTACAAAAACATTTTTATTACATTAGTACTATAAATTTATACCCAATCTAATGACGGTTTTTTTGTTATTTTGAAAATGTGAGTCGTTTTCCTGTTTTTTTTTATAGAAGAAAGCATTACTTATATATTATTATATTAGCATTTATTTTATCAGAGTCAAATCAAATTTCAAAGTTATGCATATCTCTATCTAACAGATTCTGAGTTCTTTCTTCAGGGTTTTTTCTTTTTTTGGGGTAGTTTTCTAGTCATATAAGATGGCTGGTTGGGAAAAATGGTGGGAATGGCAGTGCGTTCTAATTTAGGGATTTTTCTTGGACAGGTAAAGACATAGCTATCTGACCTAACAATCTTATGAACGGCAATTATTTCAGATTCTAAAAAATGTTTAGAACATACCACTGTATTTGGCGTGGGAGTAAAACAATCTTCCCGGTGTATGGCTGCATTACTATTACACTTCGGTACGCAGCAGGTACGAAGCATGGTAATTGTTCCGTATCGTTGTTTCGCGTAATTATGAGATTTTTCAAAACTCTTTTACAGATTGCTTAGGTATCAATCGAGGATCAATAAAGAAATAATCCGTGGGGAGAGCTTTAAACAATTATTCCAAAATAGGAAGGGTACATGATTGGATATTTGGCAGAATTTTTATTTAAAGGCACAGAAACAATCATGTACCCTTCATATTTTCGAATATTTTTTAATGCTCTCCCCAGGAATTATTTCTCTATTGAACCCTCAATTGAACCTATATAAGCAATTTGTAAAAGAATTTTGGAAAAATCTCTCATATTTATGAGAAAAAGTGGTTTGTATTCTATGAAACAACTACCACAATTCGTAGAGGTTAGGTTTGCAACCTCATCTAATGTAAAAACCACAGATAATCTAAAAAATGTCACAGTTTTTGCTAGCCACACTCAAGGCACAGCACTATTTTCACACCACAAATAATTTGAATGCTGATTTTAACTAGAAAATATATTTGTTTCGATCAAAAATAGAACATAAACCCGGCACAAACACGGCATTTACATTCTAAATTATGCAAACACAACAGCTGATCGCCGAGCGGGGACCCTCAGATTGTGACGTCACAGGCGCGGTGCGAGGGGTATCTTGCGGCTTTAAAATTCACGTAGGCCCCGGTTAACGCTAAAACGCCATGGAGGACGTAAGTCTGCAAATGTAGCTAAGGGTTACATTCAGAGTCACTTTCCAAAAAAAAATATCTTGGCAAATCCTGGAAGGTAAACCGAGTACCAATACTGGACAATTCGCAGCAACATTCCGGAAAAGAGTTTTAAGCGAAGAACAAGTAGCCAAGACCTCCACGAGCAGAACTGAAAATAAATTTCAACAGACTACTGGAAATGAAGCTTGTCCATCAATTACATTAGTGAATTGTTCAAACTGCGACATTAAAATTAAAATGAACTCAAAAAAATATAAAAAAATTGTTTATAATGTCATTGTTAGTGGTAATATTATTCTGTGAAATACTGTAAAAACATTTTAATTAACATTTAAATAAGAATTTCAATTCGATCGTAAAAAAAAATTTTGTGTGCGACATGTGCTAAAGGCATATTATATTGGGGGACATGGAAGGAGCCTCCACGATTGCAATAGTGTATCAAAATTAGTAAACAAAAAATACTATTGTTGGCGTCCCCTGGAAACGTCTTCTTTTAGACGGCCAATCCTTCCACCACCGGACCGAAGTGTACGAACCAACATGAGAAATAATCATCAAGGGTTCTTCTCAGAACCGACCTTGACGATGGCGTCCATAAATATAGAGGGTATTACGAATAGCAAACAGGAATTATTATCCGATTTTTGCAGAATTAATAAATGCGATGTTCTGTGTATTCAGGAGACACACAGGGACCACACACAAAAACAACCTAATATCCCTGGCATGCGATTGGCCATTGAACTACCTCATAACAAACATGGGAGTGCAATCTTTGTCAAACCTGACAAAGTAATTACATCAGTTGGGTCATCAAACACAAATAACATCGAAATATTAACAGTGGAAATTGGAAATTACACTGTCACTTCCGTCTACAAGCCCCCGGCAGAAACCTTTATCTTTACACCACCATTGAATTTCGATTCTCAGAAGGTTAAATTCGTCTTGGGTGACTTTAATAGCCATAGCCCAGCCTGGGGATATACAGATTCCGACACGAACGGAAGCCTGGTCGAAGAATGGGCAGAATCATGTGATCTTACCCTTATACACGATAATAAACTTCCACATTCTTTCCACAGCAACATCTGGAAACGTGGATATAACCCCGATATATGTTTCACTAGCCTCGCATTGGAAGGGCAGTGTATTAAAAGAGTATACCATCCCGTGCCTAAAACTCAGCACAAACCAATAGGAATTGACGTATACGCAGCCGTCAGATCACCAAATATTCCATTTAGGCGTCGGTTTAATTTCAAAAAAGCCAACTGGCAGAATTTCTCTAGTGAATTGGATTCAGCTATTAGTGAACTGGAGCCCATACCAAAGAACTACGAACGATTTATTGATCTAGTGAGGCTAGTCTCAAGACATACAATACCAAGGGGTTGCAGAGAACAATATATTCCTGGTCTTTCTAACGATTCTAGAGAACTGTTAACCAGGTACAAAGAACTCTTTGAGAAGGATCCTTTTAGTGAAGACACGCTAGAATGTGGCTCAATGTTAATGCAAGAACTGAGTAATTCCAGACAGCAAAGATGGATAGACAAGATAGAGCAAATTGATATGACTCACAGTAGTAAGATCGCATGGAATTTCCTAAAAAAACTTGATGGCGACCCAATTGAAAGGAAACAAATCGGTAACATCAAACCTGACCAGATTGCCCACCAGCTGCTGAAGAATGGAAAGCCCGAAAAGAGAACTAGAATACCAAGATTAGAGAGAGATCGAGCAAACGAGATTAACATCCTGGAGAATCCCTACAGTTTAAAAGAACTCAATTACGCTTTAAACAATATGAAAAACGGAAAGGCAGCAGGCGTAGACGATTTGTGTACCGAGCAGATTAAAAACTTCGGCCCAGCAACAAAAATGTGGGTTTTGAAATTTTTTCAAGAATGTACCGACAGCCACAAAATCCCGAAATCTTGGCGAAAATCTAAAGTTGTAGCACTGCTGAAACCGGCTAAAGATCCAGGACTGGCCAGTAGCTACAGACCGATCTCCCTGTTGTGTCATTTGTACAAAGTTTACGAGCGAATGATTCTCAGACGCATGGAGAAAATCGTAGAATCGAAACTTATTCCTCAGCAAGCGGGCTTTAGGCCGGGAAAATCATGCACTGGGCAGGTCTTGGCTCTTACAGAGCATATCGAGAGGGGATACGAGGAGAAGCTGATCACTGGAGTCGCTCTTGTCGATTTAACCGCCGCATATGATACCATCATTCATAAACACCTCCTAACTAAAATATATGCTACAATTAAGGATTATAACCTGGTAAAAGTGATCGAGACAATGATGCAGAACCGACGCTTTTGTGTCACTCTGAACAATAGTAAGAGCAGATGGAGAACTCAAAGGAATGGGCTGCCCCAAGGAAGCGTCCTGGCGCCAATGCTATTTAATATATATACCAACGATCAACCTCTCCCTGCCTACTCAAAACATTTTCTTTATGCTGACGACCTGGCAATAGCTGTACAAGATACCAGCTTTCACAGCGTCGAACAAAAACTGGAAGGTGCACTTAACACAATGGCTAGTTACTACGACCGGAACTCACTTAAACCCAACCCTTCCAAGACGCAGGTTTCCGCTTTCCACCTACGCAATAGAGACGCTGCAACAAAGCTTAATATCTTGTGGAGAGGTAGTTTGCTGGAGCATACAGAAAAGCCGAAGTATCTCGGAGTGATACTAGACAGGACCTTGACATATAGGTACCACTGTCAGAAAACTCGCCAGAAAGTCAGCGCTAGAAATAACATTTTGAGAAGGCTAACTGGAAGCAAGTGGGGCGCAAATCCATCTGTCTTAAAAACAACTGCACGGGCTTTATGTTTTTCAACGGGAGAATATGCCTGTCCTGTATGGAATAGATCGAGCCATGCCAAACAAGTTGATGTTGCTTTAAATGAAACGTGCCGAATAACAACAGGGTGTATGAAAGCAACAAGCTTATTTCAACTTTACAGAGCCTCCGGATTTGCAGCTCCCTCACAGCGGCGCAAAGCGGCTGAACACACTGAAAAGTTTAAACAGATGTTCGACGAGCGCCATCCGCTTTTTGGCGAGTTCCAAGGATCAAGCAGACTCCGATCTCGGAAAAACTTTTTAAAAACTGTTCAAGAAGATCCACCGCATGATTATCTTCTTAAAAAAGAAGATTCTGCAGGCCAACATCTTGATTGGGTCACGTGGAACCGCATCGTGGAACCGCACTAAACCGCATCAGAACAGGAGTAGCGCCTGTTAAAACCAACAAAGCGAAATGGGGACTTATCACGGACGAAGACACAATATCGAGCATCTGCTGTCATGCATAAGATGCGCTCATACATGTACCCTTGAAAATTTATGGAACGCCGATGAAAATGCTTTAGACGTCGCCCGGTACTGGGCTAAAGAATTTTAAATTATAATTGTACATTATGTACCTATATGGTCCGGATACGAAAAAGTAAAGTAAAGTATATTATATTTGTTGCACTCACAGCATGATTACAGCTCAATCCAAAATTCATTCATCGTGCCACAAGTATGTCCTTTTTGCACTAGTTACTCAAATAACTATTTTTACGGATTTAAAAAACTTGGTTAAGGTTTTTCGCATTGAATTCCAGTAAAAATTACATAAAAATATTTATTGCTCTTGTATATCTGTTGACAACTAAAATTCATAATATATAAACAAAATCTTTCTGGTTTTAGTGAATTTTAATAGAATTTATTTCAACAATTTTACTATTTTTAATAAAATAAAAAATACAAATACAATAAAAAATAATATACAGGAGACCCATTAAAAAAACATAAGTTTGACTCATATTTCGAATATGACAGCTCCCAGCAAAAACCTAGTTACGCCATTCAAAGTGAAAAACTCTGTACGGAAGTCAGTTTTTTAAATTTTCGATGAGTTATCAGATAACCGATGTACGAATAGGGTTGAACATTTTTTTTCAACCGAAGCAACACTTTCAAATTCGCCCTGTATTTCAGGAAACAAGAAGGCTCGGACAAATCTGTATGTAGCATCTTTATAGTTTCATAAAAAAGTAGCACTCTAAGTAGTAGAGACTCTAAGATCTTTATTGTTTATAACTTATGTAGCGAAAACATTTTTTGGTAAAATGTTTCGAAACAAAAAGCGATTTATGTTATGAAACATATTATGTATCAAAAATGTGATGAAACTGTTTCGCAAAGTTTCTCAACAGAGATTTTGTTTCGATTTTGTGTCTAAAAGTGCTACTTGGAAAAATACACGAAAATGAGACAGCCTGTATTTTGAGGTATGTAGTTTTACACTGGACCCACAGTTTATCACCCTATCCTCAGACTTATGAAATCTCTTTGGTCGAATTCGAACGGCATTATTTACAAGTCAGTAATATTCACGGTGGTCTTTCACTGCTTTCCTTGAGATGACAACTCGATGGTCTCTCTAATTAGATAGGTAAGTATTTATGTTTAAATAAAGAAAACGACATAACTGCGGTTGAGCCACGGATTGCCACTTTAGAAATAGTATAAGAGTAATGAAAAATGAAACCAAAAAGAATTTATACGTAGACCACAAAAAATCTATTTTTCTATTTAGTATCGTATGAAGCATATTCAGGATGTACAGGGTGAGACAACGATAGAGTAAAGCCCATTATCCCATTTGTTTTGAGGTTTACAAAAAAATCTTAAATTGAAAAGTTATAGGGAAGGTTAAGATACACACCTTAAAATTATTACGGAGTAGACAGAGTGTTTCAAAAATGTGTGGCAGATATGACATATGTTTTTTAATGCAATACCCTATTTATTTTATTTCATTTTTAGATTCTGCATAAAATTTTAAAACTTTTTTTTATGAATAATGTTATATACCTAAAATTAATAGTTTTTTAATATTTCAATTTGTTTAAACAAATGTTAGATTTTAATGTGGTAAAGAATTGTCAGTGATACCACTATTTATCAAGTTAGACTACTAAAATTGATAGAAGAGTTTTATAGAGATGAAGAAAAATATATCTGTAAAGATATTTTAGTCAGATGCTACAGGGTGTTCAAAATATATTTACGAATTCCAACTACTTAAAATTAAAAAATCTGAAATTTTTTAAATGACACACCCTATATATTATCATTTTTCTGATGGATTTTGCAAAATTCTTCAACTTTTATAAGGTATATCATGTACCTAATTTTAATAATTTGCGACTTATTCTGAATTTTTCAATTTTTACTCTTTTTTTAATTAATTTATGCACAAACATCATAGTTGCCAAAATAAAAATAACTATTATTAATCACTCTGGACCTGGACACTGACAAAATCAAATATGGATAAGGTAACCAAATCTCAAAGATCTATGGAAAGACAAATGCTACATATAAGGCTGGCAGATAGAAAAAGGAATGAATGGATCAGAGGAAAAACTAAAGTAAGGGATGTTTGGTTTGGTTTGGTTAGAAGTGAAGTAGAAAAATTGAAATGGAAGTTTGCCGGTCACAATGTCAGACAGGAGGATGATCGATGGAACAAATGCATCGTAAACTGGAGGCCCTGGGAGAATAGAAGAAGTAGAGGAAGACCCCAGATGAGATGGGCGGACGATCTGAGGAAACATGCAGGCACAAGATGGATGAGCATGGCGACAGAGAGGGAAGAGTGAAAGAGATTGAGGGATGCCTATATCCAACGATGGACCGCAGAGGCTGAATAGATAGATAGATTATTAATCATTAACAAGTAGTTTAGTAATTAGTTACAATTGTTATTATTAATTTATGTTAATTAACTTTACTCAAGTAAACTAAAGTCACAATCGTGAAGTTCTTATATCACAAACATCCAATTGTTTGGCCATATTGTAGTTTTTTTAAAAAGTAGGTGAAGTCTTACCAATTTATCTAAGAGTTGTTGCAGCTAATTGTTGGGGTTCTAAAGAGATATAGTGGCATTTTGTTTCAGTTGGCAAAACTGCTTCTGATAAATAACTTTTTGTTGGTGGGAAATTAACATCCGTCGTCATATTTTCCGACCAATAGTATGGTTGAGTTTTATTCTGCAACAAAAAGAAATATATTATTGATAATCAAACGAACAAATCCGAAATGTTGCTTGAGTAGTGCATATATATATATATATATATATATATATATATATATATATATATATATAAAATATATTTCTTAAATTTTTAAATTAAAGTATCTAGTATCAGAGCTGCAAGCTCACAGAAAACTTAAGTCTTTTTTTGATTTAAATCATTTTAATGACTTAAGTCATTTGATTTTAAGCCATTTTTCGAAAGCTGACTTAAGACTTAAGATTTAAGTCTTTTTCAAAGTGATTTTTGATTTAATTCTTTATTCCGAAATAGAAAAAGATTCAAGTGTTTTTAGAAAAGACTTAAGTCGTTAAAAATATTTAAGTCTTTTTATAAAAGACTGAAGTCGCTAAAAAGATTTAAGTCTTTTTATAAAAGATTTACATACATACTGCCATTACTCGCTGACGAGTATTCGACACGCATCAAAAGATGGTCACCCCAAGCGTTTTTTTTCATGAGCTTTTCTGTGACTGAAAAGCCCGATACGTGATGTTATTTGCCTACCGCACTCCGGACATTCAAAAATCTCATTGCTTTGTTGCCTCTTTACATTTTGGTTGTCGCTGTTAATTGACTTTACAATTCTTCTCCATTGAGTTCTATTGTGAACTGCTTCTTCCCAATGGTTCTGCATTTTAATCCCCTATAAGTTTTCGTGGAAAATGTCCTTGTACCTTTTGAGTTGTCCACCCGGCCTCCTCTTACCGTCAACAAGCCCACCGTAAAGCAGAGATTTTGGTAAGCGGTTTTCTTGCATTCTGCATACGTGACCAGCCCATCTTAAGCGGGATTTTGTAACCATGACTTCAATACTCGCGCAGTTAGCTTTTTCAACCACCGATACGTTTGAGACATGACGGAACCACCGGATTCTTAAGAGTTGTCTAAGGTGTCTCTGTTGCAACTTGTTTAATGCGTTCATGTGTCGGCGGTACGGCACCCAGGTTTCGCTCCCATATAACATGGTGGGGATTATAATTGCTCGGTACACTGCAAGTTTCGTTTTTGTACTCAAGTCATGATTGTAGAAAACCCTGTCTTTTAATTTCCAGAATGCTTTTGAGGCGCTGCTAATCCTGTGCTGAATTTCAGAGTCGATATTGGCCTTTTCCGAAATCAGACTGCCGAGGTAATTAAATTCCGCTACATATTTCAATAGTTCTTCTCCGATTTTTATGGCATTGTTATGATCTTCTGGGGGAGTGCACATGATTTAGGCTTTGTCGATGTTTAGCTCAAGGCCCAAAGCCTCGTATGCCCAGGTATATGTGTTCAACATTTCTTGTAATTGTTGTAACGTGTTTGCAACTAGAGCCAAGTCATCAGCGTATTGAAGTTCTGTGATGAATTTTGTACGTGTTTTTGCCCTGAGTCTTTTTATGTTGAACAGACTGCCGTCATATCTCTCTTGCAGTTTGCTGTCCACTATAATGGAGAGCGCTGCCATGAATATGTTGAATAGGAGAGGCGCTAAGACACATCCCTGCCTATCTCGTGGGTTTGTCAGGAAGGGATCGCTCAGTGATCCATGATGTGACACTCTTGACTGGTTGTTGTTATGGAGGCTTTTACACACTGTAAGAAATTTGTTGGGTACACCAAACTTTCTTATAATCGCCCAAAGTGCATCTCTGTTCCCAGAGAAGGCTTTTGTTAGATCGATAAGTGCAACATAAAGTTTAGACTGCTGCTCTTTTACTTTTTCTTGTAGTTGGCGGATGGAAAATATGGAATCGACGGTGCCACGGTTGGTGCGAAAACCCGTTTGCGATTCTGGAAGGATTTTTTTCTATATGTGGGTGCAGGCAATTTGACATAATTTTTGCAAGAATTTTTCCTCCGATAGCCAATAGTGAAATTCCGCGGTAATTTCCGCAGTCTGATGCACTTCCTTTGTTCTTAAATATATTCACTATATTCGCGTTGCAAAAGTCCTGAGGTACCTCTCCGCTTTCCTATATGACCTCGAAGAGAGCCTTAAGATGACCAATAAGTTCTTTACTTGCACACTTATAGATTTCCGCCGGGATCGCGTCACAGCCAGCTGATTTGTTGTTTTTAAGTTGTTTTATGGATGTCATTATTTCCTGTTCTGTTATTGGGGTATATAATACATGGAGGCTGTTATACTGAGGTATTGTGTTTAGTGCTTCCATATTAGAGTTTATTTCTTGGTTAAGGATGTGGCTGTAATGCTCTTTCCAGCGGTTTCTAATTTGCTCTTCCTCTTTTAGAAGTTCGCCATTTTGTGCCATGATTGGGCAGCTTACCTTCTTGTTTGAGCCGTATACTTCTTTTACAGCCTCGAAGAATTTACAATAATCGTGATACGTGGCGTACTCTTGAATCTGATTAGCCATTTGTGACCACCAATCATCCTTTAATTGGCGCAGATTTCTTCGAAGCGTGTTGTTGGTTGCTTTAAATTTGTCTACCAGCCTTGGATTGTGGGGATTTGCAGTGACTGCTTGATGTGCTCTATGCTTTTGTTCCAACAAGGTCTGTATATGAGGTTGATTTTCGTTAAACCAGTTTGGTTGTTTCTTTTTGTTGGACTTTCCCAGTACTGCTTGTGCTTTTGTGCATAAAAGAATTGAGCCCTTTTATAAAAGACTTAAGTCATAAAAAAAGTAAAGTTTTATAAATATTACGACTATTATATAATATTTCTTAAAGTTTTATAAAAGGCTTACGACAGATTTTTATATATTTTTATGATAAATTTTTAATAGCAGCATTTATTTTCCACACACCTACGAGTATAATATAGTATACACCTATCCTTCTTAGTTCCTGAAATACAGTGCGAATTTTAATTGCTGCATTTTTCGACCCTCTTCGTATCTTGGTTTTAGTTGCGCCACTGAACTTTTACTTCGAAATCTCTATAGTAGAGGTAGAAGGGGGTTTCACCATCAGTGGAGCAGTGGAGCAAGGAGCCGGAAGTGACGTCATCAGCTAAGAACATGTAAAATAGGCTAATAAACAAGAATAAACAGGTTTAAATAAGAAACAACAGCTTTTGAACTGCTTTTAACGGCTTTTTAGTTTAAAACAACAGACCTGTTCATTTTTTGTTCAAACCCGTTTATTTCTGTTTTCAAGCGATTCAAAGCGGTTCAAACCTGTTTATTCTTGTTTATTAGCCTATTTTAACTGTTCCTAGCTGATGACGTCACTTCCGGCTCCTTGCTCCACTGCTCCACTGATGGTGAAACCCCCTTCTACCTCTACTCTCTATGGAGCTCGATTTTCACGTTTTCGATTAATAAGTTATAATGGTCGATATATGAGGGGAGTCGAAAAATGCAACAATTTCAATTTCGCCTAGTATTTCAGGAACTAAGACGGTTAGGACAAATATGTGTGTACCATTTGTAGTTTCGGAAAAAAGTAGCATTGTAATGTGACAAAACCGCATCTTTGTACTTCTGCTCATAAACGAGAATCTGGGAATTTTTTGACATTAGAAATTTGATTTTCATGTCAATATGACTCCTATTTGTAGGGGCCGCCACCTACCTGTGTTTTAACCTTTGAATAAAGAGATTAAGGAAGGAGCATAATGCTATCCATGTATTCAGGCATGGTGGGCGGGAAAGGACTCTAGGGTGGGAATCCTTGACAGTTCTGTTTACGATTCATTTGACACATTTGAATTTGATTTCAAATTTTGTGGATTTGTCAGTCTTTACGGAGCTTATTTTATGTTATTCATTATTTATTCTATTACTGATAGTTGTATAAAGGTAGTAAATCTGGATGGAAATTGTGGCAGAACTTAAATTAACAGTGACACTATTGCGATTTATCGAAAAAGACTGTAAAAGTTGGTTGTGTAGCGTGCGGTAGATCGTGGTCAAAAATCGAGTGAAATAATGGAACAACTTTTCGCTAGTAAGTGACTATAATATAATATACATAAGTGTAGTAAACCGATCATTTATGAAATTCACTTAAATTAACTAATAATTATATATTTTTTCTTGCATTTTTGCTTTTATTTACTACTTGTCAAAGATTAGATGTCAATGAATTTAGATATGTCAATTTGACTTACCTGGTTCAGTAGTGTATCGGATGTTTGTGTTAATATATAATTATTATAACTTATCTATTTTTATTAGAATTTTATATTTTTATAACAATTTTAATAACTACCAGCATTTATTCACAACGTAAAATAAAACAACAAATTATTGAGTCTACCCCACGTCTACCCTACATCATAGTTTTACGCTTTTTAAATAAAATTAGAACGGCACTGATAAACCGGAATTTAAGTCGGCCATATTTGAGCCCTTTGTTTGAGCCCCTTCGCTGTGGATCTAAGATTTTTGATATGCTCCTTCCTTAATCCTTTTATACAAAGGTTTTAACTGTTTTGAAAATTAATAACTTTTCGTCCGTACCTGTATAAAAGTACTAAGTGAAAATATATACATTACCTTGACATTTTACGTAAAAATTGTCTCTTGATAAAAATCCCTGCGAGTAACCGTTCTCAAGATATTTAGAATGGAAATAGTCAATACATATGCCAATATTGACAAAAGATAATAATACTGAGTAGATAGTTATTTGACTCAAATAATAAATTCCAGAAATTTTTATTTTTTAAATTAATCATAAATTTTTCTGCGAAGAAATTATGATAAAACAGTTCCTGTTGAACTTTTGGCACAAAACATTTCAAATTTATGATTTCAGTTTAATAACTATTTAGTCAACATGTTTAATTTATGTCAATGATGACAGGTATTGATAATTTCGATTCCAAATATCTCGAGAATCAATAATCGTAGCGATTTTTAACAAGGGACCTTTTTTACGTAAAAAAAGTCGTAAATGTATATTTTCTTACTCAGTAGTTTTATACAGGTTCGGACTAAAAGTTATTACTCGTCAAACCAGTAAAAAATATGTAGGTGGCGCCCCCTACAAGTAGGAGTCATATTGACATTAAAATCAACTCATGTCAAAAAACTTCCAGACACCAATTTTCATCCAAATATTTACGTTATTTCAAAAATTATTTGGAAGAAATCGAAATAAAAATGAAACTTCTACACCCTGTATCTCGGCAAAAAATCGAAATAAAATAGAATTTCTACACCCTGTATCTCCGAAACTAAGCATTTTAGGACATACATTTATACGAACGTTTTTACCCATTTTTATCTGCAGAATATGCTGCTGAAGCTTCCGGAATGCAGTTCGGATCACCCTGTATACTAAGTTGTGTTTTTATGTTCTTTACGCTTTTATGTTAATTTTTTTATTGTTGATTTTATTAGTTATTCTGAAAACAAATCGTTTTGTTTTAAGTGGTTTTATTCTCATATTAAATAAAATACGATATTAAAATAGAAAAATTATATCTCTAGTAATTACAAATTATTTAAAAAATCATACCTGTTTTAAATCTTACCTTAAAATAAATCTTTTCATCATACTTCCTTTTAGTTGAACCAATAAAAATTAATAATGATTCGGTGTACCACACCGGTAATGTTTTAGGCTTGATATAACATGTTGTAACGTATCTATAAAATACGAACTTTGTAAAGTAATCCTTACTTTCATATTTATAATGTACCTTTTTGATGAACTTCCACTGTTATCAACGCGGGTTTGCACCTCCACTTTACTTTTGCTGTTCTTGAGAACTTCACTACAACAAACAAAATAAAATAAATATAATATATTTACATTTAAAGTGAGCAACGTACACGCGAACATCTCTGTCAATATGTTTTATAAATAAATGATTGCTGTTTAAGTCCTTTTTTATAACAGCTGGAGCTAATTTCAAACGTTTTTCTATTTTATAAACCATTTTTGTATTCATAACTTTTAATGTCTGATTTACTCGCTATACTAAACATTAACTACTTTGCGAGACGATATATGCATACTATTATATATTTCAGAATAAAATATACAGTAATAAAACTGAAATATTTGAGGAATGAGAATTTTTTACATTACTAAATTACTGGCGAATGCGCCAGGTTTCTTATAATCTATTATGAAATTAACTTACTTTTATATATTTTTTTTATAATCGAGGTAAACTTACCTTTCTTCCTGCAGTCTTTTGTTTGAGTGATCGTTTGATTTCTGTTGATTTTCAAGTTGCATTGTTTTTGCTAAAATGGAAAAAAAATAATAGTCAATATTTTAATAACCATAAAGTATTTTAAACTATGATATGGAAACAATCGTTTTATATTATAATTGACATTCGTTGTTTGTAAATTAATTATATATTAATTGAAAATATACTCGTATATGCAACGACTCGAATAATTCCTGGTGCATTTATCAATATGGGAGTTAAAAATCAGTGAATAAAGCTCTCTCGTTATCATTTGGCTTTGTAAACGCTTTGATATATTATTTGATTTGTTTGTTTGAATAAACCCGATAAGAAATTTACACAGTGTTTAACAAATAAAATTGGCATTAAATATTTAGTATAAAGAGATAAGCAACTTTAGATTGAAATCTCGGACAATCTACGAAATATGAAAAACCAGAGCAGTTACCAAAGAAAGTAGTTATTGCAAAAACCCAGTAGGTTATATAGTATATAACTCAAGAAAGGGAAACACACAATAGATCTATAAGGTCGCGGTGATTAACCCTCCTCCTAAAAATTCTGCATTTTGTAATGTTTATCTACTGGAAACTTGAATATCGATTGATTAATTATTATCTTCTAATTATTAACTGCTAGATCAAAAGTTGATAGATAAATTAGATTAAGATCTTATATATGCTATGGCTATTTATCTAGCCAGCTATTTTGCCAAAGGCGCTGTTATTTTGTTGGTTAGGGGTCAGTTTGTGGTGTTGGTTGTGCTGTTTGTTTGCAAAATAGCTGGCTAGTTTGAAAACTAGCCAAGTGGAGGTGGGCAAAGATTGAACGAGTCGTTCATTTGAACGAGTATTAAAAATAAATCGTGAGATTCGATTCATTGCTTGCAATCCGGTTCGTTCAAATGAATCGTGGCCAGCACGGATCCATAACATTTGAAAGATGAGCCAAAAGTAAACAAGAATCGTGAGAATGGAATCGGATCACAATACGATCGTGCGTTCAAAGAGTCGTGAGAATTGATTCATTGCTTACAATGCGGTTCGTTCAATTGAATCGTGGCCAGCACGGATCCATAAGATTTGAACGATGAGCCGTAAAAAAGAATCGTGAGAATTGAATCTATGGCGCGGTGATATAGGCATAAATGGGCAGGCATCAATATTTAGACTTAAACAAAAGCCCTAAACAAACATCATGAGCATAAAATACAAACGATAAGAAAGTTATTTACAAGAAAAAAAAACTTATTTATACTGTGCTTAGTACGGGAGTATCTGTAAGGTAATGTTACGTTTTTCGTCGGTTCCGTGTGGATAGAAAGTCACAATTTATTTAAACATAATTTATATAACGCTAATTAACAAAAACAATAACGATTAAAAGACTTAAAGAACTATTTATAACTTATTTAAAATTTATCTAATTAGTTATCTAACAGAAATTTATTTTGAATTAGCGTGGCGATTGTAACTCTACGCGTCGATCGGTTATTTATCTCTGTCCCTCTTAGGCCCCGGCGTCTGCGTATATAGGAGAGAAACAGACAATCCAGATTTGTCTAGTCAATTCTTATTCGTTCTTAGAACGTCGGCATCGCTGGGCGTATGAGTCATAGGCGAGTGGCCAGGCCTAAGGCTGAGTTCACACGGCACGGGTCCGCAACACTGCCCCCTTCTTAGGTACATGCTCGTCCCGAGATGTACACGGTGAATGAAGGTATTTGCAAAGCTGGCCCCTGGTACATTGAGAAGTCTGGTAGAAAAAGCAGTCTACAGTTTTCTCGCTTGATCACAGCTTTGGGTTATAGCAGCAAACGAGGATCTCGATTCCCGTAAATCTAAACAAGACTTCAATCATGTTCCGGATTGTACGCCAACTCAAACCATCGAGTCCACACGCCAGCTTCGGAATGGCTAATCGTGTAATGTTGTTGTTTAGCAGGGCTTCTCTCAGTTCAATAAGGGTCTTCCATAGATTGAGATATGTCGGCTTACTCGGGGACCATTCCTTGGTGACCAGGTAGAAGATGTGTCTTGCTTGACCATGTGCATTATCGGTTAACCTCAAGACGCTTCCAACCTCTGGATCCTGTTGGCGTAGTTCTCCGACACGCCCAAACTTCTCATTGAACGTCGCAGCGGTTCCTCTGGACATCCGCAAATCTCGGGCCACACAGTGAGCGAGCGAATAATCAGGATTCACGGAAAATAGGTCTCGTTGTTCTTCTTTGGTCACACCATAGCGAGCCTTCTCACTGCTATTGTATCGGACCATGAAATCGTCAAAGGATATCTCCGAATCAGGGGGATCAAAGCTGCAGGTTCTCACGGTCCCAGCACGATCTTCTATTTCGCCTTGGTAGGGGCTCAAACGGTTGAAATGAACTATCCTCGGTTTTCCTTTTGGTAATTTTCTGATACGGTATACGACGTCATTAATCCTATCCATGACTTCGTATGGGCCTTCCCACGAGGATTGTAGCTTCGGAGATAATCCACGACATCTCATCAGTCATTTTATGTTAGATTTATTAATTTTATTTTATGACTAGTTGTTTAATATATTACTATGTGTATTAATTATAGCCGAGATTATTTCATAAATATTTTTAAAATAATCGTAGTATTTAAGTAGATTTGTATCTAGAATTTGTTTTAAAGTACGATCGGGTTATTCATTATAGTGTCTGTGTTAGTATGTAATATATAATATATGGCGAAAATAGATATTTATCATTAAATTAATAAAATATAATAATGACTTAAAAATGTAAATTTAATTACTGTAATCACTAATAATAAAACGTCAACAACCCATTAGATTAAAACAAACATGTAACAGTACAAGTGAAAAGTAGACATCCATGTAATTTTTTATCTATTTTTTCAGGTAATATGAATATATCTTTTTACACATGCAGCTAAGCAGTTATACTGGTTATACATGATTTTTAATATAAAACCGTGCATTAAAAATTTTTCTGGTCCAATTTAGATATATTATTTGAATATTTTGGGGTTAACAATATTTGGAGGGGTCCTACTTTCTTTTTCAAACATTTTCTACATTTTAATACTTCCGTTTTAACAAGAAGTGGAATCTAATATGCATATTTTAAATCAAATCATTTAATATATTTCATGGTATATTCAGATTTTACATGAAATTTAAAATACATGTTGCGTATAGTGTTATATACTTTTTTATAAAATATGTGTTCAATTTAAGTCAAAAATGATATTAGCACAGCAGAAATTAATTGTCCTTGTTTCAGTATGAATACATTTTTTATAAATATAAGTTAGTTTATAAAATACCGAGGGTGCCATTTAAAAATCAAAAATTTTAGTCATTTCAGTTGAATACGTCAATCAATCCTAATTTATGTCATGTACTAACATAACAAATCTCGTTTTTTATCAGAAAAAATAAAAAAAGTTATAGTGGCGAATCACTCTTGATAAACACCCGGTATACTATGTTTACCGTTATTGATCTTGGCCCTATGAAATAATTCCTTCTCTACAAATAAATAAAATCAGAGAAAAAATTCAATCGCAGCTTACTAATAGAAATGCTTCAATGGACCACAAAATTATATTCGCAACAGAATCGCAAATCCTAAAAATTCAAAAACGCAGATAGAAGGTTATCACGGTCCTAGTTTACAAAATCCCAATTGCAGCAAAATCACAAATATAGCAAGAATATTGGTTGCTTAAATTGAAACTCGCAAATAGAAGAAATCGCAGTCGCTGTTTCCTATGAGAGCCAATCGTAAGTTGCGATTGTAATTTTAAAATCGCTGCGATTGAATCGCAGTTTGCGCTCATTCTAAAAATCTTTGTTTTTGTTATTTTATAAGAGTCAAAGATAAAAGCAACTTTATACATATATTTGTAGGTATATTTAAATCGAACAGTTTTGATGTCTAATAGGCTAATAGGCATGTATGACATGAGTAATAGATCCAAGCCAAATTTAATCGGAAAAAAATCGTTCATTTTTTAAACAATTATGAAGAAGCATAAAAGATATAGGTAATTCTATTTAAACAGGGAAATTGGAAGCCATTTACGGTTAGACTAGGAGTGCCATGATGTGGAAAGCATTTCAAAATAATTAATAATAATAAAAATAAAGAATAATAACAAGATTAAAGAATAATATTAAGAATAGAGAATAATAATACGAATACAGAATAATGATAATTATAAATGAATAATAGAATAAAAAATAATAATAAAAGATAAGAATAAAAATAAAAACTTTAAAAATTGCAGTCCAAATCAGGGTTGGAAAAAATCCTGATTTTAAAAAAAAATAAAAAAATAATTTTTTTTTATTTATATCAGATTTTCTTGATTTAAATCAGATTTTGTTGATTTTAATTCAAAACAATATTTAAATCGGATTTCCAAATGACTAGGAGTTATTTCCAATTGAAGTCCTATCCTAAATGGCTAAATCTATACCCTGATACCGATAATATTAACAATTCTACGCGCGTTGTGATTTTTCCACATCGGTCACCAATATATTTCGCAAAAAAAGTCGTTCGCTTCAGGTCAAAAGTATTTTTTTTCAAACGTCTCAAGAGTATTAATTGTGGTCATTTTACGTCTAGGCATGAAAGTAAAGCACTGTTACGCCTAAAGCACAAAAGTACAAAAATATATTATTAAACTGATTATTAAGTGTCAAATTCAACGAGTGTACAAATTGTTGCTCGATTACTGTTTATAATATTTGCAATGTTTGAAATTAATTAAAAAATTATTTTTTGCAATGTTTTAAAAAAATAGTCTGTTCTATTCGGAGTGAAAATGTACTTTTTGTGCCTCGCTGTAACGTCGGAAAAGCTTTAGGATGGTCCTTCAAAGGTACAACATCGTCAAAAAAGTATAATTTTTACTCCTAATAAAATAATACACTATTGTTCTGAAATAGTCTTAAGTTGAGAATGAAATTAGTATGTATTATCTAATGTCAAAGCACTTACTACATAAAAAGTACACTTACATAAATTTTAAAATAAATCCCTGCGTTTAGCGGTCTAATGGATTCACACGAAATTAGTTCAAAAATCGGTCCAACTATTAAATTGATGAATAGATATTTTTATATAGTTTTATATCATTTACAATTATTTTATGATTTATTATCTTATAGTTTTCTAGGACACATTTTTATAACTTTTACAGTAATTTTTTGATTTATAATAAAGTTTCAATAATTTTTTTTTATTTAAATCACATTAGTTCTTAAAAAACTCTTGAAAAAGGCCTAACAAGCCGAAACATATATGTAGAGTTAAAGTTACTCTTATTAAAAGTTTTTTGATACATCTAAAAGCGTGTTTTATTAAAATACTAATAAATCACATGATTAAAATTAAAAAAATCACTTGATTTAAATCACGATTTAAATCATGATTTAAATCATTTGATTTAAATCATGCTAAACCTGGTCCAAATACACTACTCAAAATAATAATTATCGTATATTTGATAAAAAGTAATTATGACATATTTCTAAATGAACCGTACATTTGTCTACCCTCTTGCAAGTTTTTTTTAGAATAATTGGGCTACGCGCTGATATGCAATTTTCAGTCGGCCGACTATTTAGGTGCAAAAATGAAAACATTACATTCTTATGGAGCCGATGGACCAACTATTTGATTGCATTGCGTAGCTTTAGGCTATGCGTTGACAGACAATTTTTAGTCGGCCGATGCAAATGTGTAACTAATATATTCTATGGAGGGGAGCCGCGCTAACGTGCAATCAAATAGTTGGCCGATCGGCTTCATAAGAATGTATTGTTTTCACTTTTGCAACTAAATAGTTGGCTAACTAAAAATTGCATGTCAGTGTGTCGGTTATTGTTTAGAATATGTATTTCCCTGCACATTACCCAACTACTTAAAAATGTGATTCAGAGAATTCAAGGTGTGTTGTTTCTCAAGTTAATATTATTTGTTTAAAAATATGCGATAATTGTTTTGAGTAGTTTAAATATCATTTACTTAAAACATTCAGCTTTGTATCTAAATTATATTTTAAAAGAATATCTGTATTTGGGATATACAAAGACAATAGTTAAAAAGATTTTATTTTAAGAGGATTAAGTGTTAAAATGACGAAAAATCACCCACCCCAAAAACTTTATGATAGACACACATCTCTAATTTATTTATAATAATATAATTATTAATAACTTATTTAATACTCTTTATTACTTTCTGTTAAAATTAACAAATAACACATATCGTCCTGATAAAATAGTATAAATATACAGTTTGGATATAATAGAAATCAGTATATGTCTAAAAAACAAAAGACTTCCAAGACTCACTTCCGAAGACTAATTTAACATAGGGCATTCGATAAAACACCGTAATTTAACCCAACTAAAGAATATTCTTGCTCCATTACTTACTAGCTTCGGCCGGTCTTTCGTTTGGCATCCCTGCGATTTGCCAGGCGAAAATCTTGTAAAAAGCTCCATCAATCTTGCCAGCGTTTCTCTCGTGTTCCAGTTCGGTATTGGTCCGTTCTGTCTGGATCAGATTGAAACTGTAAGCTTTCATATAGTCGAACTTACTGGGTAATTCGTGTTTAGATCTCATCGCGTCCGTTGTTTTAAATCACTGCGTTAGAATTTGTAGTAGACGGTTAACGGGCGGATCTGGCGGGACAGATTCCACTGCGATGCCATCAGCTTATGAGCAACCCGAACTTTGCCTACATCATAATATAATAACACCGGCCTAGTCGTCCGTCGCTGGATTCTACGATATATTACGTCATTTGTTTTGCTTTATCGTAAGCGGTTATTAGGAAGAAAAAAGCGACCACCAGTGGTCGTTAATTTGGTTAATTTGTTCTTGAACATTGAGGATATAAGAATTTTTAGTCGCAGATTATTTTTGCAAAAAATATCTATTATAATATTGCCGATTAAATAAATTTTTAATTTTTGCGTTAAAATATCGTTAAATATCTTTATATTTTCTGAGTTTTTTTTAAATAGAAAATGAACTACCACAACTAACCTAAAAGTCAACATTTCATAAAATTTTAGGAATACATACCGACATTGTATTGTATGTTATACCTTTAATGTTATTTGTGTATATTTATAATAATTAGTAGTTAAATTATACCTTTTTTATTTATATCTTCAAGTTTTCGTAGAAAATGAATTTTTCTATAATTCAGACCTTATACCGGGTGCGTCTCGAAAGTGGCTCACCCCCTATAAATTTTTTATTTTTTCAAATTTTCAGAAAAAACGAGAATTTGGTATATGACATAAATTAGGATTGATTGACGTATTCAATTGTTTTCGGCCACCTCCTGTTTCACCGGAAATGACTACAACTTTTGATTTTTAAATGGCCCCTAAGTATATTTTTACGTTATTCGATAGAAAACACACTCTGAGTAGAATTACATATCATATGTCAACTTTTGACATTTTCGCATATGGTTTATTTGAAATTGTAACATGCTGTTCATAACGACAATTTGACTCGTCAAACATTAAATAATCAAATCTATTTTTCCAAGGCTCCTTGATTAAAATTAGTGTTTTTAACGCAGCCATGCCACTCTAGATTAAAATTTAAAATACGATTTGTTTTTAAGCAAAAATGTCTAAAATTGACATATGATATGTCATTCTATTCAGAGTGTCATTTTCTATCGAATAAAGTAAAAATATACCGAGGGTTCCATTTAAAAATCAAAAGTTGAAGTCATTTCCCGTGAAACAGGAAGTGACCGAAAACAATTGAATACGTCAATGAATCCTAATCTATGTCATATACTAACATACCAAATCTTGTTTTGTTATCTGAAAAAATAATTAAAGAGCCATCCTCGTTCCATTTGAAAGAAAAAGATATGATTAAAAGTACGATTTTGGCACAGCAACTAGACATAGGGGCGTAACTACACATACTTTTAGGGGGGCTCAAGTCTTTTGGGGGGGCTTAGGTAACTATAAGATAATATTGATTTGAGATTAAAATCAATTTTATACGACAAGCCCCTGCTATCTGGGGGGCTAAGCTCTTCCTAGACATCCCCTCTAGTTGCGCCACTGTTTCGGCATCTTTTAACCGGCCAGGACAGGACGCAAAAAACTTTAGACGATTAAATTTATTTTCCAAGGCCCCTTGATTAAAATTCAGTATGTCCCCGGATTGTCTTTACAAGAGGAAAAACTTTTCTATTATTGACATTTTAAGAAAAATGTATTCTGTATAAAAATTTTTGCTTGTTCTAAAATGGCTAATCCCGTTTAAACTTTTGCATACCGTTTTAGAGAAAATTAAAAAAAAAACATGAAAATAGGGTTGAATTTTTCCTAAAAATCCGAAACGAAAGTCCTAAAAATCAAAAAGCGTTTCTATGGTAATATAACTTCGTTTTCATTCTTTAATAGATTGTTACTGATAGACTTTTAATTAACGTCAAATTTTTTGCTGTTTAAAAATGTCAAAGAAGTACAAAATTTATTTAGTTCATTGTTAATGAAAAGGTGATAATAGTATCAGAAAATGTGATACTTTAACAAAAGCAAAAAAATATGAGGTTAATCAAAATTAATAATAACCATCTATCAAATTATGAAATCGAAATTGCATTACCATGGAAACGCCTTTTGACGAAAGAAAATTTCAACCATATTTTACTGTTTTTTTTTTAATTTTCTCTGAAACGGTATGGAAATTTGGAAAAGTATAAATAGGATTAACCATTTTAGAACAAGCAACATTTTCTATGAAAAATGCATTGTTGTCAAAATTTCCATAATAAAAAAGTTTTTCCTCTTGTAAAGACAATCCAGGAACATACTGATGACTGAAATTTAAAATACGATTTGCGAGAGAGGTGATCCCATTGCCATACCGAAATCTTGTTGAAAAAAATCATTATTTAATTGGAAATAAGTAGTTTTAACACAAAGTCTCAATAATTCCAAAATATTATGTTTAATTTTGTTCTATCTATTAAATGTGTATCTTGTTCTAATCTCTCACTAACTATTTTAAGTGATTTATTGTCGGTAGATAAATCAAATTAGTGAAAAGACTAACAACGTCAAAACTAACCATTAAACTGTTATGTGTTATATTCATTTTTGAGATTTTTTCTATAAAATGGATCACCTCTCTCTCCTTTGTTAAGTAATATTTTTATGGAAGATTTTGAAAATAATACAATAAATAGTTTTTCAAAAAAGCCTGTAATATGGCTGCGTTATGTTGATGATATTTTTGCAATATGGCAACATAACGTTTCTGAAATAGACATTTTTTTGGATTATATAAATTCTCGCGAACCTATCATAAAATTTACTTTAGAAGTAGAGAGAGGTAATCGTTTGCCATTTCTTGATGTTTTAGTGTCAAAGTTTCAAAATAAACCAATTTTAGATGTTTACAGAAAACCCACAAACACAGATAGATACTTAAATTTCACATCTAATCACACTATAAGTGTAAAAAAGGTTTATAAAAGTTTATATGATAGGGCAAAAATAATATGAACAGACGACATTTCACTAAATAGAGATATAAACCACATAAAAAATACATTAATCAAAAACGACTATCCACCATATTTTATTGACAAAACATTAAACAAAATACAAACCCCAAATTATAGACACAATGATAACAATACACAATATATTCAACTTACAATTCCATACATACGAGGCGTTTCGGAAAAAATAAGAAGGATAGGAAAACAATATAACATACGAACATCTTTCAAAACACAAAATACACTTAGATCCATTTTAATTTTAAACCAATAAATACAGAACAACAAACAAAAAATGTAATATACCAAATACCCTGTGAATGCGATAAATTTTACATTGGTGAAACATCTAGACCCTTAAATGTTTGAATTAAAGAACATAAAGATTATTTAAGAAAGGGAGATTTTCTACAAAATCTAAGATTTGTTTCAGCATTCTTGGGACACAGGACACAGAATAAATTTTAATAACGCCAAAATTATAATGAAAAAGAAGCGATAGCCTCTAAAAAAAATAAAAGAGGCTTTTTTAATTCAATCTAATAAAAATAATTGTATTGCTCATGCATCTGTAGATGTTAGTAATGTATGGCAATCGCTTCTTTGATTTTAAAGAACAATATATACAACAAGATAAATAAACATAACATACATAAAATTTAAAAATAATCATACAGAAAGTTTGGGGCTTTTTGGTTTTACCCATAGATAAAAGAAAATAATCTTCTATTAAGATAGATATGAAACTTAATAGTAAAATTTTGGTCAAAGCGCCTCTCCGTGTACTTAGTAGAGACTACGTTTAACCCAGCGCCTTCGCCTTTTCTGCTGTAAATATTTTTTATGTTTATATTTGATTTCAAAGAATTTAGTTTTAAAGTTACACTGATATATTAGTATATCAGAGTAACTTTAATAAAACATAAGAATATATATATTTTACATTGGCAAAACAGCTAGACCCTTAAATGTAGAATTAAAGAACATAAAAATTATTTAAGAAAGGAGATTTTCATAAATCTAAGATTTGTCAGCATTCTTGGGACACAGGACACAGAATAAATTTTAATAACGCCAAAATTATAATGAAAGAAGCGATAGCCTCTAAAAGAAAAATAAAAGAGGCTTTTTTAATTCAATCTAATAAAAATAATTGTATTGCTTATGCATCTGTAGATGTTAGTAATGTATGGCAATCGCTTCTTTGATTTTAAAGAACAATATATACAACAAGATAAATAAACATAAGATACGTAAAATTTAAAAATAATCATACAGAAAGTTTGGGGCTTTTTGGTTTTACCTTATTAAGTAATTGTTATCAGGTAGTAATTGTTAATTTTGAAGTTTATATATCAAGGTTGTATTCCGTTGCTTACCTTGGTTATGGTTTTATGTTCCGTTTCTATCTGTTTCCTGAAAGTTTTCTTATTACGGAACACGGTTCCTGAAAAATTCGGTTATAACTGTCACCAAACTAACCAGCGCTTCTGGTTTGGTTTGTCAATCAATGTCATTTATGTGACAGAAATCAAGCAAATATTGGAAGTTCGAGTGAAATTCTCATTTAATTTCTAAAATTTGTAATAATATTTTGTATTTACATCCAAAAGTAATGGATGTAGGCAGTAAAGGTAAATAAATTTCATTAACTTAATAGAATAACCTTTTAGGACCATTTAAACTTATCATGCAGCCATTGTTTCTTCAAGTCAGGAACATTTAAAGAAAACATGAAAAACAAGACAACAAATAATCGTAAATGTTTTGTAAGCTATAAAAATATAAATATTGAGTAAATTTGTTTATTTATTATTAACCTGTTTTAATATTGGACCTGCAAATCTTCATTTGAGCTGTCTAACGAGTTTATTAATAAAATACTTTTCAATATTAAACCCCATTGAAAAGAAGAAGCAAACGTAGAAGCAGAGAATAGGTACATTAAAAATGCATAAAATTTTATAACAAAGGTATTGCAATTTAGAAAACGTCAACATTTGACGTTTCCAATATTTTACCAAACTGTTCCGTATCAAACCGATATTTTTTCAGGAACCGCTCTTTACCGTAGTTTACCGGTCTGGTTCGCCTGGTTTTGCAACGGAATACGGCACAAGTTAAAAATGTCATTTTAACAGAACGTCAACGGTTTTTTGTAGACGTATCTGTTTTAAAAAAAGTACAGTGTTCTCAAATATTTGAATTTAAATATTTTA